TGTATTAACATAAACAATATGTGGTATTTTGACAAATCTGTAGACGTAACGGTTCATAGAGGATAACCTAGATGGCGCTTAACAACATTTAGTTTTCGTCTACTTCACTTTTACTATAAATTCTTGACAAATTTATTGTTCTATAGTATTTGTAGTCTTGTCTACGGATAAATAAAAAACACGAAATATAATTTACTTATATATAACATATTATAAGTATTATATAATATGACTTATTGAGACAAACACATTTCTGCGAATCAATCTGTCTACGAAACAATTTATTTCGTCATGATTCGAACCTAGTATGATATTATTGCATTAATTACTAAGCCACAAAAGCTTATACTGCAATTAAGATCAATTAACATAGTTGTATCTAGTAGACACACAGATATTCATATTACACAGATTGTAAAGTTAATTAACTTTTCAATTATGTATTACATTAACATAACACACATATAAAATAAAGTTATACAGATACAACAATTGTTAGAAATATTGATATCGATATAACACTGTTAAACAGGCACACCAACATTATTCCAACCCAAAAAGTATAAATGAAACAAACTATTAATTTGCTAAATCGTAAAAAATAACAAAATAAATTAAATTAGATGCTACGGATTACATTAACATGCTTTAAATTAGATATGTGTCTACGACGACTCCTTCAAGAAAAGAGGAGGGAGGAGGGTCCTTCAAGAAAAGAGCGTACCAATTCTTGAAAGCGCGGCAACGCACTTGCGAGCCTTCTGGCATTGTGAGTGTCCATGGGCGGCGGTATCACTTAACATCAGGTGAGCCTTTTGCCCGTTTGCCTCCTATTACATAAAAAAAAGTACGATTCATTTTCACGGTGACGTTGACAAGTGATCATATACGTGATAATACCTATACGTACGTAAATCGTACGTATGTACGATTTACGTAGTTATCGTATCGTATCGTAGATATCGGCTCGGCAGATGGCGCTGCAGTCGGTACTTTCATACTATGTTTAACATCCTAATCGCTTGAAATATCAAGCAGGACAACGTCTGTGGGGTCCACTAGTATACATATATAATTCTACTGTACGTGTGTATGTCACTGAACTCCTCTTAAACGTCTGGACTGATTTGAATCAATTTTTTTGTATGCGTTTGGATGCTGCCCTGGATGGCTTAGATTCACAAATCGGCCCGGCTGATGGCGCAGCAGTCGGTACTTTCATACTTTGTTTAACATCCTAATCGCTTGAAATACAATGCAGGAAAATTGCAGGATTTGAATTGTTTTATGAACCAATTAAATTTATGTGTTGTTTATGTTATACAAGGAACATGAAGATTCTATGAGGCTTACATTTCAAAGTCGATAAAAAAAGAGAAAAGTGAATTAAGTTCGGTGGCGATTTTTGTATGGAGATGTTTAAATAAAACTCTTTGTTTGATGCTGGGTTACAACTCACTTTAATGGTTTAAAATATGAGCTTATAACTAACATAAAATTAGGGGTAGAGGGGTTGCGACGTTAACAAAAACAATCTTGGCTTATATAAGGGTTAATAAATCTAAATGACACTTATGTTATTGGACATTATCGTAACCGAGAATGTTAAAATACAATTTATAAGCGTGGTAAAAACTAAAGGGCTCATATTGGCTTCAAGTGTGATGATTGTTTATATTTTTACACTTCTAATTAGTAACTTAAATATACATATCACGTGTTTATAAACTATTTATGCTATATAAGTGTAACTTATAAATAAAAATTAAGATCTCTGAAACCTGTTGAATGTTCAACAAAAATATCTGTTACTCTACAATACACGGAACAATGCGAAATATGACGTAGTTACATTAAAGTATGACCTCCAATGGAATTCCAGTTCCCATTAAATTGCGTATTTTGTATCTGAATACAGAAGTTAAAAAACTTGATCGTTAATGAATATTATATATTTTAAACCTTGTATTGTGTTTTTTTTATCGAATAGTACAATTAATTAGGATAGTTTCATGTTGTAAATTGAAAGAATAGATAATTGAATAAATTTTTTATAGTTACTCATTTATTTTCATGACGTAGGTTGTTAAGCACATTGTTAAGTTTTAAGTATTCAAAGTTTATAACAATAATTAAAAGATATTACGCAAAAACATTAGTACCTAATATAAAAATATTATATACAGTTTATTTATAGAATTATGCCCGGCATAATTGAACGAATAATTTCATTTCAACCAAAACATACATACCCATGGTCGGATTTAGGGGAGGGAAACCGGAGCTTCAGCCCCGGGGCCTTTACAAAAGAGGGCCCCCCCACTGAAGGCTTCGGTATTTAATATTCCGTCTAGTAAACACCTTTTCTTTTGATATATTTTTATATGTCTGTTTAATACTAAATATATACCCCACTAATACTAGTGGTTGCCTGGAAGAGATCGCTCGAAAGCGATAAGGCCGCCAGTTGCTCTCCTTTTTATTTAATTATGTCAATTGTACCATATTTATGTATATGCAACGAAGTGTTAATAACATAAAATAAATTAATCTACTTCGTTTTACAGTAAATTACTAATTTAAAAACTGGACTGAATTTTTTATTTTATTTGGAAAATAATTTGAGGCCACATTCCACTCCTTTGTTGCCTCCAGACCTCTAAATCCGGCTCTGTACATACCCAAAGTTTCCTCACGACCCAGAAGCTGAGAATATTGTGAACAAAATCATTAAGCTTGAATAAGTATTCTAGGCTTATAATGGCGTGACAATAATTAATAAATGTTTCGCAAAAAACGTCAGATATAAAATCCATTATTTTACAGAATGACGCCCGACGTAATTGTACGAATTACTTTAATTCATACATGTCACACCTTACATTCATTGTTTAAAATAATAGTCCTATTGGGAATGCCAATATTACAAAAACATTTTTAAAACGTGTGCACTTACGTGAAAGTAGATTAAAATGTATCCAAAGGCGTCGCTAGCTTATTGTAGACGGGGAAGAGAAAAAGCAGATAGAGGGGATAAGTAGAGTATGACTTGTATAAAGGGAGTGAAACCTTCAACGTCTGGTCTATGCAAAAAAAATATAAACACAGTAACTTAATAATTCACACAAATTATTTTTTTCCCCAAGTGACAGCCTTGGTATGATGTGTATGAGTAAAAGAAATCCTAAAACAATTTATTAAACTATTATATACAACGGCGGATAATGAGAACGCGATTTTCCACAACTGAGCGTTTTTTAAGGTACATTTTCCCGCGCAACGCTGCTATGTGGATCCAAATGCCCGTCGAGATATTTCCTACCCAAACGACATTAAGAACAGAGCCATACATCCAAAAGACGGCAACGCACTCGCTGAGCCCTCTGGCATTGTGAGTGGCCATGTGCGATAGTATCACTTAACATCAGTTTTATTTAAAAAAATCATGATCCGGCTTGGACGGAAAGACGGAAATCATAAAAAACATGAATAGTACTGTGTCAAGTTTTGTTAACTTTAGGTCAGTTGCACCAACTGTGCCGACATATTAACAATCCAAGTTTAGTATTTATTAGAAGGATTGCTCACCAACATATGGACTAAATTCTGACTAATATTTGTGGATGATAAAGATATTTACCATCCCAGACAAAGCATTTTATTGTGCAAATAACGAGTTATTGCCCAATTAAGTTTAATTGGTGCTAATAAATATAACGTCATAAGCTATACTTCAATAATTTTACAAGCTATACGTAAGAATTGCCAAAAGTTTCCCTTTTGCAAATTTCATTGAACAATTAAAATCGCCAAAGAAACTAGATGAATAAATATATAATAATAAATATAAAGTACATATATTTCTAGGAAACATTTTTTTAGTTCAATAAAAATAACTATCTAGTATAATAGGAATAGGGGTTGATCGTAGATGGGTGACAATTAAGAATTATATGTATTTTTGTATGCTGTATCATAAAAAAATAAAAACAAAAAGTTTTGTCAAAAATAAAAATGTATGGGTGGGACCACCCTTAACAGTTAGAGAGATGAAAAATAGATGTTGTCCGATTCTCAGACTTACTGAATATGCATAAAAATTTCATAAGAATCAGTCGAGCCGTTTCGGAGGAGTATGGGAACGAACATGACACGAGAATTTTATTAATATAGAGATTAATTTCACGTGACACTTTTCTCATTTTATTTTAAATGCAATATCTGTAGACATCGATCTATAGTACGAAATCTATTCTAGCTATAATCTGTCAATCCAAGCAAATATTTATATTTTGTTTCTTCTCTTATACTTCTTATACCTCTATAAACCCCTTGTTTATGGTACGTATCTATACAATGAGTTTAAAATGACATGGTAATTAAAGGACATTCCCCTTATTACTCATAACCAGCGTCTTATACATAATAGTGATTAGTGAAGTGTATTTAGGAGCTGATTAGATAGAACAAACAATCTTCCGTTACGAGTCATTACCGCTAGTATTATTAAAGATCTGTTGATACACAGACGTACGAGATCTTTGATAAAAGAGGTCCGTGTTTATTTATTGTGCTTGTGCTTGTAATATGTAAGGGAATTTAAAATGATGTTATCGTCTAATAAAGTCAATACCTAAAATGTATAAAATACCACAGGTATTCCCAATAAACCTGTTTGTATGTTTAAAAATAAATACGCGTGTCGAAAGTTTCGCCACCTCGCCAGTCGCGTATAACATTTAACCATCTTCGAACGCTTACCAAGTTTATTTTTTAATTCGATGAGTTAAATAACTTACGTTTGAGTTGTGTTTCAAAGAATAATAATATTTCTAGTCCAAACGAATCCGGGTCAATTCTACAATGAATTAGCAATTACTGCGTTTACGTGGTCTAAATACGTGTTAGAGGAAATCAAAGAAATTAATAATTAAATTGTGTTATTATATGGTCATTCATTTTAAGTACCTGTCGCTGTACAGTAAAGCGTAAAATTTAAAATGTATAAAGTGACAATATTATTTGCAATCCTTGGATGTGTGTGTGGAAAAGTGTGTGATGTGAATGATACTGTAGACATTACAGGCGGTCGTTCAACGGGAAGCAGAATAGCATACCGTGGCATAATCTTTGAAAAATATTTTAATGAAGATGGTAAAGTGAAAGCTTGTCTCGTACCAAAAGGCTTGATTGTATCAAAGTGTTGTCCAGCGGGGGCAGCTTACGATAGCGAGAACTCCGCTTGTGAGAATGTCACAAGTGAAAATAAAAAGCGAAGCCCCCTCGTGTATGTCGAGAAAATATTCAATTTTAAATTTGGGAAACCAGACTGTAGTGCAGGTGATGCAAAAGTGCGGATCACTGCTGGACACGTTTACGATATATTTAATATTGGAGAGGTAAGTTAATATTAAAAAAAATATATAAGAAGATCCCTCTATTTCTAGTTTATATAAAAAATATAATATCAAGATTAGTTTATAAGATAACATTTTATTTTAAGTCCTAGGTTATAATGAAATACCATCCTATTATATTATTTATTAAAATTGTATCTATTGAAGGTTAGTTATAAATTGCATCCTTAAGAATTACGTAATGATTAAAAACTTTTAACTAAATACGTAGTTAACTAATTGTATTCACAAATTAATTTACAGAAATTCCTAACAATAATATTTTGTTCTTTTAGTTTTAATATATTTTTAAGTTATTACTTTGTGTTCTCTCGTAAAATAATATTTTTCAGAGGTGAGATTTTTTCGGTTGTTAGCTAGCTTCAAACATTTTGTTTGAAGCTAGCTAACAACTTACTGGTTTAAAATATGAGCTTATAACTAACACAAAATTAGGGTTTGCGACGCTAATAAAAACAAACGTGTATCTAAGGGTTAATAAATCTAAATGACACTTATGTTACTGGACATTATCGTAAAATAGAATGTTAAAATACAATGGATAAGTGTGGTAAAAACTAAAGGGCTTCAAGTGTGATGATTGTTTACATTTTGTTTACGCTTCTAATTAGTTACAAATATATATATGTTATGTAATTTAATTAACATTAGGTTACGTAACTCCCGCTAACACAAAAATGCAAATTTAAGGTTATCAAGAATCATAAAATCGTATTTTTAAAATCTAGTAAGCAGCTGTAGGCCACTGTTAATTCATTGAGATACGAGAAGCTTTGGGTTATCGCCAATACTTTATTAACCATGGGACGATACCAAGATTAAGGAACCGTGATTGTTGACGTGAAACAATTTCTAGGCAGAATAATATTTCAATAAAATATATCTTTTATTTACAAAAAATCTACTAAAAATCATTACAATTGCATAATATGTATTCAATTGAGCTAGTTTTTTTTTTTTTTTTTTTTTTGAGTTAGCTTTGGGAACTCTGACACAGGTATTTTTTTACTTAAAGGGTTCTCAAATCTCAGACATTTTTATTTATTTTAAAGTGTTGCGACAACCTAGATTCGGTTCCGGTAAAAAAATATAATTGTTTTGGGGTTGGTGTTTGACTAAACTCATTTAACCATCTTCGAACGCTCACAAAGTTTAGTTCTAAATTCGATGCGTTAAATTTGCGATTCGTGAGTTGTATTAAAAATTTTAATATGACAGGTACAGTATAGCCTCAAAGACGTAGAATCGGTTCCCGTGAAAACAATTATTTTGGCGTTAAGTACATTATTTTTTTTGGTGTTTGACTAAATCAATTTGCTAACGCAGAAATGTGTTTGCCTCGTGCTACGTGCTCTACAAAAAACTGAACTTTTCAACAAATATTTTACAATAAGAGCAGTGTTGGCCTTGTGGCCTTGCGCCCGACTCTCATCCCTGAGGTCGTTGGTTTGATTCCCGGCTGTGCACCAATGGACTTTCTTATGTGCGCATTTAGCATCCGCTCGGATGCTGAAGGTAGACATCGTGAGGAAACCGATATGTCTTAGATCCAAAGAGTCGACGGCGTGCACCTACTTGCCTTTTAGATTAACAAATAATCATGAGACAGATGCAACAATCTGAGACCGAAAAAGGTTGTAGCGCCACTGATTTTTTTATTATAGAATAAGTACATATTTATAAAAAAAAGTGTTTTTGAAATCGATAACATATTAATTTCACGCCACGTGGCTTATCTAATCGTAAACCATGTAGGGTTACATTAAAACAGACGACAAAAATGTTCGAGTGTTTAAAAACTATCGGAATTATTTTCCTTTGAAAATGAACACTGTATCGCCAGCCAAACAAATAGTACCAGGTATGTAAATAGCAGGCAAAACATAAATCTATAGTATTGACCTTAAGCCTGTTTTAATAATTAAATCATAGCTAGAAGATAGTCAGCCAGTACCGTTAATATTCAATAGTTTGTCTAATTTTTATCTGGACTTAAATGCTCTTGTATACAGATTTTAATCTGCTTGCTCTAAACAAACCCAGCAATAAAATATACACTACAAGGTGCAAAGCTTTTAGCGTTAAAGTAAGTTCTCATACTGTACTTCTTATCTCGCTATTAACTATCGCAATAAATAATTGATATAGGTAGATAAGATTTCTGAAAATACTGAGTAACTGGCTTTGAAAATTTTCCTTTTAGTGAAATGCTAAAAATAATAAAAATGACGATGAAAAAACGAACAGTGGTGCTTTTAATGCCTTTAAAACACCATTAACATATTAAATTCATTGATTGCATATTTATTGGAGTCTGATGAAATCTAGTTAAAAGGCCGTCAACGCACTCGCGTCCCCTCTGGCATTGAGAGTATGGGCGGTATCACTTAACATCAGATGAGTCTCCTGCCCGTTTGCCCCCTGTTCTATAAAAAAAGTCTAGTACTATTACCTAAAATTCGTATTTTGTTTTCGTAAGTTTTTAATTTCCAAGAATTAAATACGTATAAAATGATTTTATTAATGTAGAAATAAACATGAATGTTAAAGAAATATTGGAAACAGATAATTTCCGAGAATCTTGTCCTTGGACTTTTCGGCTAGGAAATATACTAGCAAAATACAAATTTCAGACTTATCTCACCTCTTAAGAAATGCCTTATCATATATAGAAAACATATAACATATTTATTGAATATATTGTCTGCAGTCTCAATCAGCTTACACAATTTTGCCAGGCCGTCTCAATGTTTATTATTTTTTAAAGCTTTATTAATCCATACAGCAATTGGTTAGTTTGCATTCCTTAATACTAGTATTAGTTGTGTTAGTATAAGTTTTAAATTTTTTAAAGTTAGATTTCTTTTTTCTTTTTTAGTGGTCTAGTGCTTGTACGGCCCCTTTTAGGGTTAAAGCCTCCTCCATATTTTTCCATTTCTCTTTGTATTGAGCAACATTCATCCAGTTTTTCCCCGCTAGTAAGTCAATATTTTCTTTTGTCGAAATGTTTACTTTACGAACTCACACAGCGGTTTTCGCAGCGGCGGTGGCGCTCAAATCAGTCGTAAAGCAGTCATTTTACGATTTGGCATTCTGATAAGGAGGGAGCTTGTAGTTTATTGTAAAAGTGAGTAGTGAGTAGTAAAAGTGAGTTACAGAATCGCAAGGCAGAGTTGTATTAGCCTCTAAGCTATCATCTTAAAATCATAGGGTCATTCGAAGCATGGCCGTTCTAGAATGTATAATAATGTCTAATTAATGAATGTCTAATTATTCCATGACGATACTATCGTAAAGAACCCGGCACCCAAAAAGAGTAGAGCATAGACCTTATCGCCTATTTAAAAAAAGGGACCGAGTGAAAGATCTCCAACATTGCTGTTTTTTTTTAAATTAAGTATTTTGTAAGAGAGTATATTTAGAAGTTGCTTAATTTCTGTCTTCAATTTTATTAAACTTCCAGCCCAATTATGCTAAGATATTCGTGAGAATAAAACATCAGTACGTCATCTGAGTAGAGCAAAGGTATTCTGGTATACATATTGTTTTGTTTGTATTTTTTCCTTATTACATTTGCACTTGTTCGTTTTTTATTGGTTGTCAAGTCAAGTATAAATCATTAAAACATATCTTCATAATAAGTATTTATTTCATCTTCAAAATGTGCTGTTTCATCCAGCAAGCAATTAAGTATTTTTTACTTATATCGGATTAAAAGGGATTTAAAATAAGAAGTTACCATGGTGCCCATTTTTAACAGAAAATGCCCAGATAAGAAAAAACTAAGGCGTATAATGCCGAATGTATTAAACCATAACAATAAGCCATATTTTTAATCAGCCGTGAATAGTGAAGTCGTGTCGCATATGCCTTGTCCTACACCTGGAACGATTCCAAGAGAGAAGGGACAGGTCTAAAGTACTCTTTGACCCATGTCAAAGTCAAAGTCAAAATCATTTATTCATATAGGTAACACAATGTACACTTATGAACGTCAATAAAAAAACATTAAAACATGCTTCTAATTTAACATTTACTGCCAGTTCTCAAATCAAGGGAGTGGAACGGAAGAGAAGAACTCTTTTTTTTGTCAGGGAAGTAGCAGATGCGAGAGATATGTCAGGACTGTAGAGGAGATCCGTGGTCTCTTCGGGAATGTATAACTAAATATTTTATACGAAAAGCGTATTCCTGATAATGCTGAAATGAATGTTCCACCGACGTCCGACTGAGCACGAACTACGACTTACTACGGCAGTCATGGTTGACAAATTTTCGACTCTGAGTTTAATTCTAAGATCATCGTAGCCTTGTCCGCATCCAGCCGTTAATATACGAATGATGTGGAATGGACCTTTGGAAGCGTTCAAGTATTACGTAACAAATGTTGCGGGGAGGGGGGTTTCCTTTTGTTAAACGTTACGATGCGGGGATTGAATAACGCGTTATTTTTAATATTATTTTCGACTTTCCAGTACTTTACACCACATAATGGTAACTTTTAGGTATAAAGAGTCACTGGGTGGTCACGAAACGTTTTACTATACTTGGGTACAGAAAAACGTTACGGCGCATTACATGGGAGGGGGGATAATAATCTTCAAAAATTGCGTGACGTAATACTTGAACGCTCCCTTGGCACAGCAAGGGCCTTTCACATCGGCCAATCAAGATCATCATATACCCTTATTTGCTATTAGACACTATAAAATGATAATACGTAAAAAACTTGAAGTTTGTTTACGAGTAAACACGGAATCGTACGTCATTCGGCATGCGCCACCATTTTGCATAAAGAAGCGTTTTGGCGAGTTCTAGAAATAATGAATAATTAATATGATTTGGTAAATACCTACCACAAGAAAAATAACAATTTGAATAGGTTTTTGAGTCACTAGTAATATTCTTAAATGGTTTTTAGAATCCTTTAAAGCCCATTTCATGTATAATTAAGTATCATTATTATTAATAGTCTAGATTGG